AAAAAAAAAAAAAAAGAAAGAGAATATCTTGGGATGCTTGGGATGTAATCAACTGTTAATAAAGCACAAAGATAAAAATTATACCTATTATTCAGTCTGATAATAATACCAAAAAAGTCCATTTATAGTTATAAATCAGCTATAAGAAAAATGTAAGGCCCTTTCTGGTGGTGCAATGGGTTAGCCCAGAGCACTGTAAGCTGGCCTCAGCTGCTTCAGTGGAGTTTGATCCCAGGCCTTGGAAGTGACCCACATGGTGCAGCAGAATCCCTCTGACCCGCCCGCTGCTCCCCTCAGCAGTGTACTTCATCAATCTGCTTGCTCTGTTCCCCACTCTGTCTCAGGTGAATCCTCTCACGACTTCTGCACCTCTGGCCTGTACCCCAGTTCTGTGTGCATAAAGAAATAAATCTTTAAAGAAAAAAAAAACAGTAAAAACTCTTAATGTGGAGACTTTTTAAAATGTGCTGTTTAGTAGTCACTGAATAAAGGAGGTAGTTAAAGCAGAAATTTAAAAAACCTTGAGACAAACAAAAGTGATGTAACACTTTCTATAAACTATGGAATGGGTCAAAAACCTGCCTTACAGGTGAAGGTAATTGCAATACAGTTTTAAGAAGAAAAAAAAACCCCTAATCAGGAATTTACACATAAAGAAAAAGGAAGGACAGAAAAAACCCAATGTTAGCGTAAGGAATGAAATAACTTTTAAAGGAGCATTGGTGGCACAATATGTAAAAGTGCAGCTTTACAAAGCTAGCTGCAACCTTTGCAGCAGAAGGGGTCCCAAGTGGGTGACAAGAAGCGGTGCTCATATGGTTATAGTGGGCAAGGAGTGAGTGTTTGGTTGTTGGGTGTCTCCCAGTCATGTCTCTTATTGGTTGGCTGGGCCTGCAGGGTTTTCCTAAGCTACCTAGGTCCACTGAGTCTGCCCATGTTACCTGGCCTACCTTTCCGAAACTAGCTTTGCTCCTTGCTTTAGCAGCGTGTTAGTGTGTTGGTGTTCTGGACACTCCATTCTCTACTGGGTGTGGAGGAGCCCTCCTGGTCTGCTATTGTTCTCCAGTCAGTCTCATGAATGGGCCTAGGGCATGTGGGCTTGGGATGGGGGTGGCTTCCTAGCGCCAATATACTGTTTTTCAGTTAGGCTTATAAATGGACTTGGGGGTCTGGGCCACCCTGTTCCTAAGTGACTGCCTATACCCAGTCCATAAGTTCTGCTGTCACTTTCAGTAGTGAAGTAATGAAATGTATATATGTTGATTGTCAATTATGAACACTTGAAGCTTATATAATAGTATAATGCAATGCTTCTTCAATACACAAATTACAAATCTATATATGAATATATATACATATATAATCAATATTATTTAGTCATAAAAAGAAGTCCTTTCATTTGCAACAGCACAGCTGAAACTGAAAGGCATGATGTTTACTCATATAAGCCAGAAAAAGAGAAATACTTGTCAAATCACTTTTATTAGAAATGTTCTAAAGCTGATTTTATAGAAATGAAGAGTAGATTGCCAAGAGCTGAGGGCAAGGAAAGTGAAGTGGTGAAGGTCAAAGAGAACAAACTGTCAGTTAAAGATAAATTCTGAAGGTGTAATGTTCAGCATGATGACCACAGCGAATAAGACACTTGATTGCTTGAGCTCTACTATGAGAATGTATTTGAAGCATTTTCATGAAAAAATGGTTAACTACGTGAGGTGATGAATATATTATTTGATTGTGGTGATTATCTCATGCTGTATGTGCTTTAATTCTACAGTTTTATTTGTCCATTATAACTCAATAAAAATTAAAAATTTATTGTTAAGTAGTAAATCAGACAGCTGTGGTACACACATACATATATGAATGTTTGTATTACTAAGTGAAATAATCCAGTTTGGAAAGACTGCATACTGTATGATTGGAATTATTTGACATTCTGGAAAAGGAAAAACTATGGAGACAATAAAAAATGACTGGTTTTCAGGCATTAGGGGAAGGAGAAATGATGAATAAAGGAAGCCAGCAGATTTCTAGCACAGTGAAACTATTTTCTATGACACTGTAATGGTGAATACATAGCTTTATGCATTTGCCTAAACCAATAAAATATGCCACATTAAGTCTGACCCCTAGTATAAGCTGTAGATGTGAGGTGATATGTCATTGTGTCAAATGTACCATCCTGGTGGGGGATGTTGATGGTGGCCTAGGAAGCAAGTGTTTGTGCATGGGAGGGAGGGGCACACGAAACTCAGTGTACTTTCCACTTAAATTTGCTGTGCACATAATGTTCCAAAACATTAACACTACTTTCAAAAGGGGGATGTGGTAATATTTTGTGCCATTCTCAGCTTCTTGATAACCAATGTTGTGTCTCCACCAAGCCTTGTAGTTCTTGCACATTTGCAAGGAAATCTCAGCAGTAAGCATCAGGAAACTTTTAGTAAGTCAAGATTTATTATTTGCAGTTTTGAAGTTACATGGCACACTTGAAGTCATGGAGAAAGGCGGAAAGGGAGAGGAAGGGAGAGAGGGAAACAGAAAGGAAAGGTGACAGAGAAAGGAGAAAGAGGGAGTAGGAAAGGATTCAGTTTTTATTTGGATTGAAGTTGGGAGTCTAGTCTTATGGGCTAATATTTATCTGTGAATTTAAAACAGAGTGAAAATTTAAAGTGCACAAAGGGAAGAAACCAGTAGCCCAGAAGACCAATAATCTAAAGGAAGTTGAGGTGGCCTGGCTTTTTCTCTTGTCCTTTGGCAGGCAGTACCAATTTCAGCTTGAGATAGCTGAAATTGAAGTGTATGACTCTTTGAAGAAGATACCTTGGCAATCAGAGCTTAAGTCAGGCACTTGCATTGCAAAAAATAGAATAAAGATATTGTCATGATTTATACTGCAATGTTGGGAATATATTCACTAACAAAACTGGGTCTCTCTCTTGTTGATGTTATTATTCAACTACTTTAATAAGAGCTCTATTGAGAAATAACTGGTAGAAAATAAACTGTATATATTTAAAGTATACATAAACGTAATTTTATAGTATTAATCTGCATATATACCCAAGAAACCTTCACCAACATGAAGATACTGAAGATATACCTCGGCCTCCAAATCATCTCATGCTTGTTTGTAATCTTTTCTATACCACTCTCCTTTCCAGGCAACTACTGATCTAGTACAAATGTCATTTGCATTTTCTAGGGTTTTATAAAAGTAGTAGTATATAGTAGGTATAGTTTTTGGTTCTAACTTCTTTCATGTGAAATAATTATGTTAAAATGTGTCCTTGTGGTGTTTAGCGATACTTTCATTCCATTTTACTGCTGAGTAGTATTTCATTACAGGGATATACCATTTTATGTATCCATTTATCTGTTGATAGGTGTGGGTATCTTCAACGTGGAGCTATTACCAATAAAAATGTCATGAACATTCATGTATTTTCATTTTTCTTGACAAACATTCAGAGTGGAATAGAAAGACCACATAAGGGGATTCTTAACTTTTAAAGAAACTGTCAAACTGTTTTCCAAAGTGATGATCAGCAGGTATGAGTTTCAGTACTTCTATTCTTGCCAAATTTCATGTGATCAGTTTTTTTTTTATTTCACTCATTCTAATAGAAGTTTATAATGTCTTACTATGGATTTACTTTACCTTTTCTTAATATCTAATGACATTGCACATATTTTTGTGTACTTAATTGGCATTTGCGTATCTTTATTGGCAAATTTCTGTTACTATTTGATGTTGGATTTGTCATGTGCATTTTTCTGCAACATTAACTTCATTAATGTAGTGAATTACTTTGGTAAATGTTTGAATATAACATCCACCTGCAGTCCTGGGATAACCAACTGTCAGAAGTGATATGAATATAGGTATTTTAATTTGATAAAAAGTTTTTTAGGAAGATTGCATCTAAGTTTTTCTGAGCTATGGACGTAGTTTTCCAGTCTATTCTTGTACTGTTTAACTTTAGTGTCAGGGTAAAGCAGACTCTGTAGGATGAGTTGTGCCATGAGTTTGGGCGTAGCACAGGGGCGCTATTCAATAATTCTTTCATTGATTATTTGGAACAGTGAAAGGTGAATTAATATGAAATAAACAGATATTGTTTTATGAAACATTTTAATAATAAAATAAGGAATGCATAATTAATGATATTGTTAATGGAGAAGAAGGAGTTATGATTCACAGTCACTGTCTCTTTAGTCTTCCTTGTGACCCTGAAATGGGAATCATTACACCTTTTTGTTGTTGTTGTTGTTGTTAATAGTTGAGAAGCCTGAGCGACCCTCCATCGTTGTGCAGCAGTTACAGCACAGCACTATGAAGCTATCCACAACCACTGTCGCACAAGTTCAATCCCCAGGCAGAAAGGTGACCCACATGGCATGGCAGACCTCTCCTGACCTGCCCACTGCTCCCCTCAACAATGTATTTCAGCAGATCTGCCTGTTTTGCTCCCAACTCTATCTCTGGCGAATCCTCTCACACTCCGCACCTTGATGTGTACCTCAGTTCTTGTACATATAAATAAATAAATCTTTTTTAAAAAAAATAGATGAGAAGCCTGAGAGGTTTTTGCTTGTAAAGTTCATTTGGTTATCAAAGAGTTGGCACAAACTATATTCACTGTCAGTCTTCTTGTCTCTGCACCTGAGGGAACATGAATTCCCCCTACCTGAAGCCATCACTGCTGGCTACTACTGGGTTCTGTAGCCTGAGAGACCTAGTGTCCTAGAGGGAAGTTAGTTCTGTAGCTTGAGGAACACCTGGTGTCCTAGAGGGAAGTTAGTTCCTCTGGGCATCACTCTTGGAAAGGAAGGACGTGGTCACCTGCGCAGAGGGCTCCAAGTCGTCTGCATCAGTGGTTCTGGAGGAGCTTCTTCCTCTGATGTCTGCGGCACAGCACAGATGACTAGAGGAGTTGTACAATAATCTTCACACAGGATATAGGGCCTCAACAACCCGTCAAACTGATGTGTCAGGGTACAAATGAGCGACTGATCATTTATATTGAAGAAGGAGATGGTCCCACCTTCATAGTCCAGGAAGACCCCTACTCGTGTAGGGGGGATTCTCGGAGATAGTTCAATTCTGTCAGTTATGAATGTGAAGTACTTATTTTTTTCATTCAGTCTCAGCACCCAGTACCCATTTTCGGGAGACAAATTCTCAAAATTTCTCTTTCTGTTAACATCATCCCGGCAGACGCCCAAGCCCCAATATTTATTGTGTCCCACATCGACCTCCCAGTAGTGTTTCCCTGCCTGGAAACCCTGAGAAGCCACCACACACTTCATCGAGAACCTCTTCTTCAAGTAGGGCACAACCTGGTAAAAACTATCGGTCACAGCTTTCAGATCAGAAATGCAGAGACGGGGATGAGCCGTGTCTGGGTCCAGAGTCACCTCCACTGGTCATGAGGAAACAGGATGAATTATACTGAAGAGAACTGGCTGGGCCTAGAGCAGCACCTCCCACTGCAGACTGCCTCAGGGGGATGGAGCCAAAGTCTCCATCATTTACTGTCCTTCCAGCCCCCCCTCCCCATGTCCAGTGCAGCCTGGGTCTTCACCATGCCTAGATATGCCCTAATGTAAGGTTCTGACTTCTGTATAGACCTAACCCTACTAATATTCTTCCATGTATATAACTTTGGGGGTCCTTCCTTGTCCCATTTATCTCCCTTCTCTCACCCTCAGTCCTGACAACTGTACTCATTCTCCTCAGTCCAGCCCCTCATGAGTGTCCTCAATTCCCTGGGAATTTATTGCAACCACCATCTGGCTGACCTTGCCCCTGCCCTCTCCCCTTCTAAGTCTAAGCTGGGAAATGTGTCTGAGGGAAGCTACACCCTAGGGTGGAACCTATTCCACCCCACATCTGTAATGCCCCACATTACAGATCCATCACTTGCAGGCCGGGCAGCCTTGCTGTTCCTCCACATCTCCTTCTCTGATACTGGTCAGCTCCCTCTCCCACACCCTCTGAGGTTCTGTCCCACTGTCACTCCCTCAGTGGCTGTTGGTACCTGCATGTTTCCGGGCCTTTCTCCATTCTGAAAACAAGCAGAGTAGAGAGGTCATGTCTCACATGGGGGCAAGACATTGGGAGAGGGGAGAGCAAGGGTGTTGACCTTTTTGAGTGTCACAGGTCCCAAGCAGTTTGATGAAAGCCGTGGTGATTCTCTGTAAATGCAACTCTCCCAAGGTCGGCGGACAGGTTTCAGAGTTCCCATCAGAGACTTTCAGGACCCATGAATCTCAGGATGCAAGAAATCTAGGGACTGACTAGGGATCTTAAATTGGGGCCTTGGGGGAGTGATTTCTCTCACCTGCTTGTTTGTACTCCCTTCTCCACTCTGAAAAAGAAAACACAAAAGAAGCTCACATCATAGAACAGGGACCCATAGAGAAGAAATCTCTGGGTAACATTCTTCCCCAGTTTTTCTGTGACACACAAAAACCTAGAATATTCTGAGGCTGATACAAGCCTGGATGAAGGCACAAGGCAACAGCCCAGACAGGATGTAAAGGGAGACACAACACAAACTCTTCCCCATTTTGGTTCACACATTCTCAGAAACCTTAATTTCCTTCTCCCACAAAAAGTACAAAAGGGAAACTTTGTAGACAATTTTAGGGGTTTTGGAATTCAAGTGCCCATCATAAATACCAAATATGAAGGGTGAATTAACTAGTAATGAATGGGATAGCTTTCCCTTTGCCTTCCCTTGATTTTTCATGTTATAAAGTCAAGATAGCGTAGAGATGGCTCAAACCATGCAACAGGATGCACCTGGAAGAACTGGGTTTGAAAGCTCAGAACATGACAAGACACTTACCCAATTCTGTCTGTTTTTTCTCTGAAACAGAAATGCAGTTGTCAGTGGGGAATACAAGAGTGTGTAAGGCACAAGCATAGCCCTGGCCTCCTGCTTGGGAGGACAGGCTGAGTGAAGAGCTAGAGCAACCTTAGAACTCCCCTTTGTCCCACCCTCACCCTCTGATGAGTGTCTCTGTCTGGCACAAAATAAGAGATGAGTACATTCCCATTAAAAGGAGGCGTTGACTTCAGGGATGTTGTGGGGGCCTCAGGGAGAAGGGTGCTGGCATGAGAGAAGGGCTTAAGGCACTCATTCTGAGGGGGCAGCATCACTTATAAGGAAAAATTTAGTTATTTAGGTAAAATGTCTTATTGAAACTGAATATTGTTTTATCGTGTTGTCTTCACTTTTATTTCCTTTGATATAAGTCTTTGCCACTACATTGAAACATTTGTTTTTTACTGGAATTTTTATGTTTTCTTATAAATTTATGCCTGCCCTGTAGGTACTGAAAATCAGCCTTTCCCTAGTTCTGGGTCTTTGTGGGGCAGGAAGGGCCTGGTAGGGAGGCCATTTCCATTTCCTACAGAAAATGTTTGCTTCAGGCCAGTCCCACAGAGGGTGTGGACTGTGATCTCTGGGGCTCAATGGTAAGGTCCTGGGGCTGAAAGAAAACATCAAAGAGGCAAGTAGGAGCTTCCTGACCCTGCCCCACTGGGTGTGTGAATAGGTCACAAACCCATGCTTCTCTCTCTCACTTACCCTGAGATTTGTAGAGGAAAATTCCCAGACCAGTGAAACCAACACACAGGACAAAGAAGAGTACTCCCAGTAAAATAGACGGCAGGCGCCAGGGTGAAGGCTGGAATAAAGTCTCTGAAAAACAGTTCACAGTCCCTTCAGTCAGTTTTGAACGAAAACACAGCTTGATTCCCAGTTAAGGAATCATCTCATACCACAAGATTAAAAAAAGATATTTTTCTATAATTGTCTTTTATTTGTCTAAACCATTGTATTTTTCTTCTTGTATTTTTCTATATGTCTAAAGCATTGTATAAGTCTTCCTCCATCTAGATTTTATTTTTGTAGAAAAAATAATGTAAAGTTTGATTTCATTTTTTTCTGAGCAGATAACTATGCCAATATCATTATTTAACTGGATTCTCCTTCACACACTATGACAACAATGTTAAAACACTGTTGCTGTGGATGTAACAAATAGGCTTCTTTGGAGTTAGACCAGAGCAGGACACTTGATCACCCTGGGGCAATAGCTATCCATCCCAAGGCAAGACTGGGAATGCCTGGGGCTTAGTGCCCCAAGTCCTGACAAGTGGAATGCCTTGTTAATAAGATTGGAGCCATAGGTGGGAGTCAGGAATATATCAGCAGACTCTCTCCCCATAAAGCCCAAACTCCAGTGTTAAGTTTGACCTGCCTTTTCTGTCAATAACAAGGTTAGGGCTTGCTCTTGTGTACCATCTTGCTTTCTGCAGCCTGCCTCTCCTCTTCTGTTTCCTTTCTTTCTCACTGTGCTGTTGCTGACGCAGCATGTCACGTCAGACTTCTATTCAGATATGGAGAGTTCGCTGCTCTCTGTTCTGTGCCATTGTCCACTGATCTGTCTTGAATGACATTATCATCTTGACTGACATATACTTTTAACAATATAGCCACAGCTATATTGATATATTAGACTAAACCTCTCAATTTTTTTCAGAATTTACTGTGGTTTTTAAACATTCTGTGAAAATTGCTTAGTCACATAAATTTAGAATTTTTCAGGTTCAAAAACTATGTTGAGTTTTTCAATAGAATAATATTGACTATATAGATCAATTCTGGGAATGACAACTTTAAAATTATACATTTTGTTACCTGAAAGAAGTTACATCTTTTTCCTTATTTTAGTTTTATTGGTGTATTTAATAAAGTTTTGTGTATCTTTGGGAAAGTTTGAAAAAGTTTAGGATTTACTCTTAGCTACATATTTTGTTGCTACTAAACATGGCATGTTGTTTTTTGTGTGTGTGCTGTGTGAAATTAATGTTATTTGTTATTATTATGAGCATATGAAAAGTTATTTGAACTAAAATAACTTGTAGATTTTTCTAGATTTCAAATTTCTAAATTTTATATGCCATTATATACCCTGTGAAAAATGACTATTCTATTTCTCCTTTCTAAATGCTTTAGCTTCTTTATCATCTTCTTTCATTATACAGCTAGTAATTGAATATAGTATTCACAGTTATAAACTTCACAATTACAAATGGTATATCAGGGCCCTCCATGGTGGTGCAACGAGTTAATGCACAGCACTGCAAGCAAGCTGCAGCCACTTCGTGTGAGTTCAATCCCCAGCCCCAGAGGTGACCCACATGGTGCAGAAGATCTCGCCTGACCTGCCTGCTGCTCCCCTCAGTATTTCATCAATCTGCCTGTTCTGCTTCCCATGCTGTCTCTGGTGAATCCTCTCACTGCCCTTGCATTTCTGGCCTGCACCCCAGTTTTGTATGAACAAATAATTATTTTTAAATGGCATACTATTAGGAAGGATGCTTGCTGTAGGAATTTTTAGATAACTTTTTAGGACACCAACTAAATTCAGTTCAATTTCAAGACTTATAAAAAGTTTTATTTTTAGGTTTCTGGTTGTTGAAATTTATCTTGGTTTTACTTACAATTATTGAAAAAATTATAGTCCCCATGTACTTAATTTTTTGATGCAATTGCAAATACGATTATTTATTTATTTCTTCCTATTCTAATTTATTGTTTGCATATAGGAACAAAGCAGACATTAGTATGTTGATTTTGTAGTCTTCACATTACTGTACTGTTTTATGTTTCACTATTTTTTTTTTTAAGTGGAGTCTATGTATATCATCAACTCATTGCATTGGTGGTAGTTTTACATGTTCTTTTTGAATTTGGATTCCTTTTATACCTTTCTTTGGCATAAGGTCTAGTTAGAACTTCTAGAACATGATGGATGATAGAGGTGAAAGTGAATATATTTATTTTGTACATGATTTTAAGAGAAAAAACATTCATTTCTTATCATTGTGTATCATGTTAGCTGTGGGCTTGTCATTTTGTTCTTTATTATATTAAGGTATGTTTTTATCATAAATATATGTTAAATCTTGTCAAATCTTTCTTTTCATCCACTGATAAACCATGTTTTTTTATTTATCGTTTTGTTGATAGTTATTACTCTGATTGATATGTGTATTTTGAAATATCCTTAGAGCTCTCGAATCCCACTTGGTCATAATGTATTATCCTTTTTATTGAATTTGATTTGCTAAGATTTTCTTGAAGATTTTTGCATGAATGTTCACCAGGAATACTGTTATATAGATTGCTTTTTTGGTAATGTTCTTGTTTGCTTTTATTTTCAGGGTAACGTTGGCCTCATAAAACATCTTTATAGAAATATTCCCACTTCAGGGTCCCAGGAAAGCATGGGCCTGCCTACATGGCTGTTGGAGACTGGAGACCCTGTGCCGCTCACCTGGAACAGAGGGAAGGCAGAGAGAGGGCTCAGAAACAAAGGTTAAAGCATGCATGTAGGGGAAGAGATCAGTAGCATAAAAAGACTTGGTGATGTTCAGGGATAGTGCCCATTAATCCATATACAGCATCAATTTCCTTGTGAAGTCTGGTGTAATTACACCAGACTTTGTCTGGCCACCAGTACCTGATATCTTAGTAGAAGCACCCTGAAGAGATGCCTGCTGGTACCAGTGCTACAGTGGCTTGTTATTTTAATTTTGTGTGCTCAATCTTACAGTAATCAGCTATTATTTCTTTAAATAGGATTTCTGCTTCTTTCTCTCTGTCTTCTCCTTTTGCAAACCTCTGTGATGTAAATGTTGTTCTCTTGATGTTGTTCTTCACTTCCCTCAACTCTTTTCTATTTTTGCTGGTCTTTTGGATAATTTCACGACTCACTCTTCCATCTGATGGACTATTTCATTAGTCTCATTGAGTCTACAGGTACGGCCCTCAAATGCATTTTTAATTTCAGTCACTGAATTCTTTATCTCTGTGACTTCTGTTTGGATATTTTTCATATGTTCCCTGTCCTTATTGATTTTCTCATTTTTTAAAAAAAATATTGTTATTTTAATTTCAAAAGCATCATTAAAACTGTTACTTTGGGGCCTCCCTGATGGTGCAAAGGGTTAAAGCAGCACTATGAAGCCATCTGCAGCCATGCAGCATGAGTTCAATCCCCAACCAGGAGGTGACCCACGAGGCACAACAGACCTCTCCTGTCTCACCCTTAGCAGTATATCTTGGTCAATCCATTTGCTATGTTTCCACTCTGTCCCTGGTGAATCCTCTCACTCCCCTGCATCTCTGGCCTGTACCCCAGTTCAGATATGTATAAATAAATAAATCTTAAAAAAATTGTTGCTTTTAAGTTTTCTTCTAATTTTGGTTAATTCTATTGTACAGGGGATTTTTACCAAGTTTTGATTGGGAAATTGATTTTGATACATAAACTGGGGTGAGTTTCTCAGCCTTCTTATTCTATTTGATATACTGTTATTATTTCCATAGATTAAACCAGACTGATTTCCTTGTTAGCTCTGCTGTGACAGTCTTAATTATGAGTTGCAGGTACAGGTTACTGGTGTAGGGTGTTGTCCTTGGATGCTGTGTTTTCTGTCGTTGTACTGTTTGAAAGTATATGATGGATCAGGGTGGTTGAGCTCAAGATATAGAATGGAGTGGTGGTCCAAGAATCCATCTTATAGTATGTAGGCCAGAGATATGTAGGATGTAAAGGTAGTTTCACTATATTGCCAAGTGCATAAACCTCCCTCAATGGTACTTGTTGCTTGAGTAAAGAGAAAGAGACGTAATCCGCATCTGATCAAGTTTATTCAAGTAAACTTCATTTAGCGCTCCTAGGATCCCGAAGCTCTGACCTTTTGTATGTAGCCTAGGTCTGATTTCATCAGGTTTTGGTAGCAGTGTATTTTTCCCTGAAGCTCTCACATAAGTACAGTGTCAGGTTTCTATGGGCTTGGGCTGCAGAAAAGTACCTTGGAAAATTACAGATTGCACAGTAGTTAGGCAATTCAGTTGTCTGTGAAGCCAGGCAAGGGGAAGGCTTGTGTTTCTCAATACTACCAGGTTAATCTTCAGAAGACTCGGGTACCATTAGCTTAATGCCCAGTCAGCAATCTGTAATCTCTTGGGGAGGTGTGGGCTTGTCCCATTAAGGCAAGCTAGGAGCTGCTGAAGGTCCTGAAGTAGGCAGGTAAGAGGTGAGTATCCCCTCCTAGTATTCCCCAAGAAAGCACTCAAGGAAACCCTGGGAGTCCAGATCAGGGAGAGGCAGTACTTTCTAGGAAACTAAAGTATTTGTCAATTGCCCCAAATAAGTCAGCTCCCTGTTTAACCAGAGGTCAGTTTTTTATTTAGGGAGAAATTGCTCACCTGCCTTAGTAGATTAACAGTCAAGAAAGCTTGTGGGAACTCCCTAGTGGCCTGTGGGTTAAGTCTCAGCATTATCACCAATGTGGCCTGAGTTCTGTCCTTGGCCAGGGAGCTGACCCACATATGGCACAGAAGACTGTCTTGCCCTTTGCTCCCCCTCAGCATTGCATTTCAGTAAATCTGCCTGTTCTTCTCCTCACCGTCTTTAATGAATCCTCTCAACCCCTGTACCTCTGGCCCACACCCCAGTTCTTGTATGCATAAATAAATAAAAATAAATTTTTAAAAAAGAAGAAGCAAGCTTGGGAGCCTGGGGGGTAGAGGATCAGGTCACTTTTGCCACTGCTAAGCTTGCTGTCAACAACCTAGGTGTGTCAACTCAGCACCTATTCAGTACTCAGTGTTTCTTATATTATGCAGTCTCTGTCCAGATGTATATTAATAGCTTAGGGAAGTTTGCAAAAGGAAGAAAAGGGTGTCCTTCAGGACCACCAAGCTAGTAGTTTTCAACCCCAGGTGTGACAGCTCCTTGCCTGCCAAATTGTTAATTTTCTTTCAGGAAGGTAGAGAATCAGTGTTTGCCAGACTGGTGAGCCAGAAGCAGAAAGGAGGCCAAGTCCCAGGAGACTGTTGGGAGGGCTGGATGTCCATGAGGACCATTTAGTTAGTAAACAGAAGCCTTAGATATGTGGGCATAATTCCCACCTACCCATCAGTACTCTTTGCAGTACACAGTGCTCACCAGTCTTCAGTGAGCTCAAAATCCAGGGAAACCCTGGAAGTCCATGTCTGGGATCAGTGGGTAGTTTTAGGGAGGCCCCTTTAGCTGCTAACAGATTCAGGCATATCATACCTATGTTTAGCCAGCAGTTGGTGGTCCTTATAATAGGTAGTGCTTTCAGGCTGCAGTGGGCAAGCAGTTGAAAGTCGGGCAAGTTTTGTAGTAAAGGCTGAATTTCCTGTTTCTCCCAAGGGTGAGAAATACTCACAAAATACTGTGAGAATTTGCAGGGTTTAAAATCAAACCGTAGTTCTAGGTTCAGGAGGGCAAATTGTGTAGGTGTTCTTCAACTCTGTGCAGTAGTTCTAGAAATGTTGTTACAGGACTTCTTGTACCTAGACCTTGCTTATCTAACCATCCTACTGTTAAGGCTCCACATGAATAGGAATCCCACAAATCAAGAAGTCAGTCACTAGTAGAAACATACCCTCCACCTTGTAGAAGTTTTCTGTTTTCAGGCAAGTTCTAGAGCCAACTGAAACAAGATGACCATGCAGATGCAGTCGGGAGACCTGGCCTAGATGTATTAGGATATATTAACATGCTAACCTGCACACCCCTGAGTGGAGATTTAAGATGTTAATTAGTCATGTGAGTTATGAAAAAGTAGGTCTGCAAATGGCCCAGTCCCAGTGTACCCCCTTTAAAATCACCATGACATTGTTTCCTATTACTCTGCCCTGATAATCACCCTCATAAAATCTGGATGCTCATTGCCTTCAGACTGAGTATGACTTAGGGTACTTGACACTCTTCTATTGTGCAATCTACAATACTTGTAACTTGAAACTCATCACTGAATCTTTCAAAATTTGTGGGACTAATTGACAGAAGCCAAACAAAACCCTTCAGAATCAATAACAGTATGTGCCTTCCAGATCTCAGCCTTTCCTTGCCCCTCCCCCACTTCATCAACCAGCCCTGGCTATGCACTCTGACACTGCAATGTTGATGGCTCAACCTCTCTCAACTCTGTCCACATCATGGACCTTTGTCCCTCACCTTCAATAAAGCAGGTGTGTGGATAATCCAGTGTCCTCTGATTATAACTGATGTGAGGCATGTGATATTAAATTGCTTTATGGATGTAATTAGGGACATGGCTTACTATTCCATATTTACTAGGTATGTCCCCAAAACTTTCAAATTTCATATTGTGTTTGCTGGGAGTCCTTGTATGACTGAATTTGAGTCTAAAATATCACTTTCTTATGTTGCATTGTGGGGAGACTTTTAAATACTTATTCAATATTTTCAGGTATATAATAACATTAAGTTATTTTATTGTCATTTAAATTGATTAGATTTTGATTAGAGAGCATTATCTGCTTGATGCCAAATTCATCAAATGTTCTGTTTTTAAAAGATTTATTTATTTATGCATACAGAACTGGGGTACAGGCCAGAGGTGCAGGGGTGATGAGAGGATCCACCAGAGACAGAGTGGGGAGCAGAACAGGCAGATTGACTGGAATACACTGCTGAGGGGAGCAGTGGGTGAGTCAGGAGAGGTCTGTGGTGCCATGTGAATCACCTGGGGGGTTGGGGGAGAGGCCAGGGATCAAACCCGCACTGAAGCGGCTGAGGACAGCTTGCAGCACTGTGCTTTTAGCCTACTACACCACCAGGGAGGGGCCATAAAATTTTCCGAAAACCATTTTATGTGTTTGTATTTGGTGAAGATTTGTAAATACTTCATTTGTGCTTCAAGACAATGTCTTTGGAGGTAAATTCTTAAAGGAATAAATATTATATCAGTATTTTTAATTTGTAGATAAAATATTCTAATTTTGTCTACCTTACATAATCAGTATCATAGATATGATACTGTATTTCAATTTTTCATTATATTTCTTTTGATATTTAAATATGTTTATATTTACTATAAGAGGCACATATTGAAATTTTTGAATATTTTAGTGAAGACACTTTTTATGTATATAAAACAATTAATGTTATTTCTTAAAACATCTTTTTTCTTGACATATCTGATATGATACTCCTTTTTTAGCTTTAATTTTTTTACCTTTTCTACTTTTTAGAATTTTTCTATGAATACTTCATATGCAATGCATTTTGCTTCCATGAATTTCAATGGTTAAGATATTTTTAATCTATTCTAATTATTTGTATTTTTAACAGACAATTAAGTCCTTTTAGATGATTGTGATTAATAATAAATTTGGGCTTGCATTATCCTATTATTTTAAAGCATTTCCTAAAATTATCTACATTTTTATTCTATTATGTTTTATAGAATAATTTACAATTTATTGAGTAAAATTTTCTAATGAGTAGGCATTTTTTTCTCTTTCCTAGAATAGGCTCTCTTAAATTTTGTATATGTGATTTTGCTGGGTTGCACGATGAAGATGATTATAATATGAAGGAAAAAAACTTAATCCTACTTTTCTGGGATGGAAAACAATTCTGTTTCTGCCTAATCAAATGTTTATGATTTCATTTTTATACCTCAATGACATTAGACTTTCAAAAGTAACCACTGACACTAAATAATACTACATAACAACCCTGTGTTTAAGCTTCCTACTCTCTCTCTGATTTACCAATCATCTATTCTCCCCCTCACTCCTAACCCTCTCCACTCACCTGCTATCTGTACTCTGGACTCCATGCCTTGCCTCTGTTCAATATGCTGTATGGAACATGATATGATTCCAGAATTTTCCTTGACTATAAATGCAGACTCCACATCAAACAAGCCATCCACATCTGTGTTCACGTTCAAGTCCGAGGGTAAATCACGTCCCTGTGGACTTTTCCACTTCACTGTGGGTTGGGGGAACCAGCCTGAGGACTTGCACAGCAATTGGATGTCTTCACCCATATAACCGATGAAAGAAATGAGAAGAGCTGAGCCAGGTGCTAAGAAGAAAACAGGGAAATGATGTAAGCAAAGATCACATTTAATGGCCACAGGTATTCTGAGCTAAATTCATGAAACTCATAGCTGTAATAGCCCCATCACACACACACACACCAGCCTCCCTTCCTCATTCTCTTTCACACATTTATACAGTTATAAAAGTACTATAAGTCCTTCCATCGTCCAAACATTCCTTTGTATAGTTAACATGATTTTAACACTAGAGGAGAGTGTAACTGTTGGCGAAGTCACATCCTGGAGGTGTCATTTGTACCCTTTAGTGAGATAAATAGGAGATTATGTGGAAGAGTGGAGAGAGGAAGAATGAACGAAGGTTAGATAGATTACATAGTGCAGAAAGCAAGCATGTCATGATGTGTTTAAGATCCTATACTGTGGACTGCATGACACAGTGACAAAACAACTGTCTGGATGGTGAGAATATAGGGTCTCAACAGTAATTTAACTGGCTAACACCTTAACATTGGACTTTCCAACCTCTAGAATTGTGAGAAGTAATTTCTGTTGTTTAATGCACCCAGTCTATATTAATTTTAACAACAAATTTAGCTGACTAATACAACATATTAACTGAATATTTAGTATTCTGGACTGTAATGTTCAAGAAGGGATGTAGGGTATGAGATAGACCATAAGAAAGTGCAAAGGCAGACCACTGAGTGAATTAATCCAAGGAGTGTGGACTATCACACAGAGGCAGGATATCTCTGAAAGGCTCTTTATTGACTTTCAGGCAGTAAATTTAAGCAGACCTGCAGATTAGAAAATTTTACAAAGAATGGTCCATATGCTACCACTGAATTTATTCAGGTGAGGGGAAAGAAGGGCAGAAGGTGAGAAGGTGTACAATGAAGGGAATACCCGCAGCAGAAGGTGTTTTGGTGTTTTATTCTAAAGCTTTAAATGGAGACTGAGGAAAGCTTAGCCTCAACTCTTGACTTATTACTTGGGAAAATAAAAGTGAATCTTACATGGGTGATATAGATTTGATGACTTTGTGGTCTATCTCACAATTCCAATTCCCTCCATATGCTATACTCTTGACATTCCTCAAGATCTGGCTCAGTGCACAAAGTCTAATAATTCTCTAGTTTTCGTTCACTTAAGAATGTCTTGATATGTCCTTTATTTTTGACAAGTCATTTTTTCAGTAGTTGATTTCCTTTTGACAATTCTTTTACAACAGAGGTGCCTCCTTTAGAGTAGTTATTTTCTTTCTGCTATTCAGGTTTAGTAAGTTCCATTAATCTATCCTCGATTTCAGTGATTTTATTTTCTGTCATCTCCACTTTAGTACTAAGTCCATCTGTAAATATTTTATTTGCTTTTACATATTTTAATTGTAATTTCCATTTGGTGTTTTAAAAAGAAATAAATTCTAGGTTCTGGTGTGATATTCTACTTTTTCATTTGTCTCAAGAAAAATTGAAGTCACTTGTTGACGCATTCTGATTATAGTTCCCTAAGTCTTTATTAAATAATTCCAACACAGATTTACATCAGTGTAGGTATATGTCAATAGGTTAATTAATCATAGGTCAGGTAATGTTTCCCTGAACATTTTATCTATTATGTTATGAGATTCTGAGTGCCGTTTAAAATTTCTATTATACTAAGACATCATATTTTTTTAATCTAGCACTCAGATCCAGGCCTACTTTTCAAGTTGTGTTCCAAGGACATTTTAATTTCCACAATCTTTGCCTTATATTTTATATGTTTGGTTTATTTAGTGATGCTGAGGATCCCATTCATCTGTTATAGTGCTACCTGTTTGAGTAGAAGGTTCTCCCCAAATTCAGACTTCATAATATCCCTTGGTAAGAGAAGGGAGACTGACCCATAGAAACAAAGAGCTTTTTACCTAGAATCTTGTCAGTGGATCTCCTACTCAATCACTTTTAGGTGCCTCTGGGCATCTTGGATACCACTGGTATTGTCAATGATCTGGGAGAAAATGAAGTCTCACTGAAGAACTTTCTGTTACTAGCCAGGAGAGATGTTAAGATTTTCTGCTGCTGCATTTTTCTTCCAGTCCTGGGTCTCTAGTTTATCCATTTCAAAGGTGCCATAGAGTCACCTCTTTATTATTTCCAGGGTTTATAATTTAAATTAGTGAGTTATAAGGGAGACATAATTCTGCACCTTATCTAACCCCTTTTTGTAGTGCTGACACCCTCATCCTTTCTTTTGTTTATTCACCAAATTAAATGTGGGTAAAAGGTCTGAACATAGAGCTTGCCAAAGATTTATAGATGTATGTCATATAAGCACATGAAAAGATGTTCTACAACATATGTCATTAGTTAGTTGTAAATTAAAAGAAGATACTACTGCATAGGCACTAAAATAAGAATTGTAAACAAAGACAACTTCAAATAATGGTGAAGATGTGGAACAGCAGAAACTTTCGTTCACTGCTAGTGTGAATGCACAGTGATGCTGCCACACTGGATGAAAGCCTGGCCACTTCTTACAAAAATAAACAGTATATGGTGGGATAAGAATCATATCCTCAACAGCTGCATCATTGGTATTTACACAAATGAGTTGGAAATTTTCACCCAAACAAAATTCTGCACAAATAGCTTTACAGAAACTTTATTCACACCTGCCAAAACATGCCAGTATCCAAGATGTCCTTCAATAGATAAATAAACTGTGATATAAATGTGCAATGAAATGAAGGATCAAGTGAAAAAAATGAATAATAAAAAGTGATTAAAAATGATGCCACCAAGGCCTTCCCTGGTGGCGCAGCGGGTTAAAGCACAGCACTAAGAAGCTAAGGCCATTTCCACATGAGTTTGATCCCTGCCTGCGCTGGAGGTGACCACATGGCATGGCAGACCTCTCCTGACCCGCCTTCTGCTCCCCTCAGCAGTGCACTTCATCGATCTGCCTGTTCTGCTCCCCACTCTGTCTCTGGTGAATCCTCTCACTGCCTCTGCATCTCTGGCCTATACCCCAGTTCTGTATGCACAAATAAATAAATCCTATAAAAAATAATGTAACCAATTATTAAAATGCATTCAGAGACCTGAATACATAAGGTAATTGAATGAAACCAATCAGAAAGATCAACCAAATACAAATCTGAAATACTGACTCCCAGCATATGACAATTCTGGAAAAGACATAAGTCAGTGGTTGTACAAATTAACATTTTTAAAATTTCTCAACATACTTTTATTGTACAACTCAGCAATTGCACTCCTGAGTGTATATCCTAAAGAAATGGAAATTTACATCTACAAATGTGTTTTATAAATGCTTTATTCAAGAAAAGAAAAAACTGGAAATTCAGACATACTTCAATGGCTTATGATACATCCACGCCATATTACTCTGCAATAAAAAGAAATGAACTATAGACACAGGCAGCTCAAGGGCATGATGTTGAGTGGAAAAGTCAGTGCTAAAATACCACATACTGTATAATACTACTGATGTTAACATTGAGAAATGAGGAGATTATGGAAACAGAGAAGATATTAATGGTTAAAAGGGGCTTGGAGATTGGTGGGTAAAGAAGGTCAAAGTGAGTAAGAAAGGAAGCAGAGGGAAATCTTTGAGGTTACTAGATAGATCTGTATCTTGGTATTGTGGTTGGTACATAAATGTACACATATGATAAATAACAGAAATATGCACAAGAACAAAATAATAATGTAGGAGCTTGTTTAGCAATTAAATGACCTCAGATTTTTTCAAAAAGTCACATTTTCAACAAACTGTTCAAAACATCCCCAATGGTCTTATAAGAAAGCTAAGTGTAAAATAGGCAACTGACCGAACACTCGCATCTCCCAGATGGCTTCCTGGTCATGTGTGTGGGAATTAAACCAGCATCCATAGAGACCAGCATCTGACAAAGTGACCTTCTTCAGCCTCAAGGAGACATACCCCTCCTCTAAGAAATCCTTCACCAACTCAGTTCTTCCTTTGTATTCTGGCAGCTGCATATAGGGGTCATCACTCCCATCCCTGTAGAGGTGGACTACATCAGAGACCTGTTCCCTGAAGAAGCGCACTTCCATGGCCTCTGCGCTTGTCTCAGGAGACAGGAAGCAGGAGAACACTGCATCCTCCCCTACTGAGGTCTGAACAGTCTTGTCAGGTCCAATTACCTGCCATTGACCTGTGGGAAGAAACACATTCGACAGCTCAGCAAAGTGCTCATTGGTGTGTATCGCTCAATGATGAATGGAGACTTGTAATGTGTGTGTGGTGGTGGACTTCATCAAGAGCTCCTAGTATCTTACATCTGTGCATCTCCCGTACTGACAAAACACTTCCACATTAATCACTTAACTCAGTCCACATAAATTTCCTGGGAAGTATGTGCTATTAGTATTCCCATTTCCAAGAGAGAGAACCATGTCTCAGAAAGACAAAAGAAGTTAAGTAGAAGCATGAAAGGGTCTTTCCAAATCTCCCCTGTGACCAGAGGAGATTTTATATTCATATTCTCTCCTTTCTGCCTATCTGCTTCACTGAAAACTCATATCATGTTTTTTAATTTCTTTGATAAAAAGTAAAGATGATCCCTTTTCTAATGACTTAGTAGGGGTAAAGCTCACAATAAAATTTGTGTTTCCTTCAAGCATGTGATTATGGTTTATAAACGTTTTGTGGAGACAGTAGTAATATAGGTTCTCAGCCCATATGTTATTTGTTATTTTTCATTTCATTTAGTTGTCTACTTGCTCTAATAAATACTTACATAGTGCTGGAAGAAGCATTATGACATTGTGATAAGAAGATTTTGTAGTTTTCATTTCAGAGATTTTAGGACAATAGTGTTTCAACATGGAATTTCTTTTATACTTACATAATAGTTTTATTTTTGAATTTTTACCCAAATTCAAAATTTTAACCTTGCAGTGAGCTTCATCTGATGTTTTATCAGTTTGTCTTACTTTCATTTTTTCCTTAGAAGATATTTTTGTTATCTTCATTTTGAAGTTTTTTATCAATTTGTTTCAAGTGTGATAACTTGTTTTCCATGAATCTCCCCTGCATGACATCCAGTCCTTGGGAGCAGGGTCTGTGACTTAGTCAGCATGGCATCCCACATTTCCAGCATGGGAACCAGCAAAGGATGGCTCCCATGAATGGCTGGGCACCCTTTGCTTTCCCCAATTGCTCATTTGATTAATGACAATTTCAGTAATTTTAGTGGTATAAAATACATTAGATAAATTCAAGTATATTAACGTTAATACACACATTGGGTGGGAGAATATATGGGCATTACAAAGTACTCTCTGTGTGAATTTTCAAACAAGTGAATATTTTTATTTGCACGCAAATTATCTTTCTCTAAGTGTTTCCTAAATCTTTCTTAAATGTTGCAGGCTCATGCATTGAGTCCTGCTTCCCACCCACCCTGGCGCCTCCCACAGTGGGATGAGCGTGTCCCTGCCTGCTGACAGCTCCACACGGGAACCTGGTCTCTGCCCTCTGTAGAGCGCTTCTGGCAACTTTGAAAACTCTCAGTCTGATTCAGGGCTGCCCAGAGTGTTGAGATTTGGACAGTCTTGAAGGTGCATCTCACCAGTATGGGCAGGAGGCGGTGCACTGCTTTTTAACAACTGTCTACACGACTCCTGGGGTGCTGTGACCAGAGGCTAAAACCAAAGACTGTTACAGGTGGCACCCTCTGGAGGGAGTTGCTGGTGAGGGTGAATAAGTCCAGGGAAAACATGACCAAAGTATTTGTAGGGGTGGAAATTCTGATAAGAAATATAAAAACTTCAGAAGCAGTTATCAGGGCTCAGCATTCAAAATTTCAGTGTTTTGGAATTATGAGCGATTCTGGTGTCAGACATTTCTGCCCCAACCATGCCAAACTTCCAGAAGGCCACTGAGGGCTTCTGAAGGATGTGGACAGACTACTAGCAGCCAACCTCAGAGAAGAAAAGTTTAAAAGCTTGAGTGATTGAAACTGTCTCCAGCCTTGTTGGATGTTACACCTGGCAGGGAAGGGGGAGACCTGGAGCAGAACTTCACTGAGCTGTGAGTGTGGCTGTTTGTCAGGTCACTCAGCTGCTGAGCTGCTGTTTCCAGTGTTGATTGTCTGGTGCTGTGTTGACACATCTCTGTAGTTCCAGTGAGCATCTCCTGCTGTCATGGAGAGCTGAATCCCAGCCTACGATGTGACTGCCATGTGCTCTAGCCCTCAGTGGCAGGAAGATGGCATCTGGGATCCTTCTATTTAGGGCTTTAAAAACACTAGACACTGCTTCTGGTAAGTGGCCACTTGTGACCTCAATGACTTTTTGATTTCACTTGTTCATTAAATAAAACCCATTATTATTATCTGAACCTGAGTAATCTTGCAGTTGTGCACACAGGTGAAGAATTCAGACAGTGACTGGTAAACTATTCAGCCAGTGTCCTTGGCTCATTTTTTTTTAAAAAGATTTATTTATTTATTCATACAGAACTGGGGTACAGGCCAGTGATGTGGAGGGTGAGAGGATTCACCAGAGACAGAGTGGGGAGCAGAACAGGCAGATTGTCGAAGTACACTGTAGAGGGGAGCAGCGGGCAGGTCAGGAGAGGTCTGCCTCACCATATGGATCTCCTCCCGGGCAGGCGGGAATCGAACTCATGTGGAAGTGGCTTAAGCTTCTTAGTGCAGTGCTTTAACCCGCTGTGCCACCAGGGAGGGCCGACTCATTTTTTTTTTTTTTTTAAGATTTGTTTATTTATGCACACAGAACTGGGGTATAGGCCAGAGGTGCAGGGGCAGTGAGAGGATCCACCAGAGACAGAGTGGGGAGCAGAACAGGCAGATTGATTACGTACTGCTGAGGGGAGCAGCGGGCAGGTCAGGAGAGTTCTGCCACGCCATGTGGTCACCTCCGGGACAGGCGGGGATCAAACTCATGCTGAAGTGGCTTTAGCTTTTTAGTGCTGCGCTTTAGTGCACCGCTGTGCCACCAGGGAGGGCCCGTCCTTGGCTAGTGTTAGTGCCCCTTGCTTCCCTGTGTCAGTGCCAGTAGGACTATGTTCCATTTGCTGACAGCAGCAACTGACTCACTGGTGCACCTCCTCCTGATTTAACTCCACTCCTTCACTTCTGTTTTCTAAAATCAACTTCCCTCTGGCCCTCTTCCTTGGTCTACTCTGAGACCAACTTAGATCAGCTAGGCTGCTTTTAATGCTGTCTCCAGAGCTGTGGGGGACTCGCAAATTGAGGGAATATGTTCGGGAATGTCTGTACTACTCTGACCAATAATTACTGCTGTGATTTTCTACAGCAGTTCCTTCTCCTTCTTATTCTTCTTGCTCTGAGGACCCGTAAGGGGAGCTTGCCTGTTTTGAACACACCATGTGCCAATGGATTCTATGATACATGTTTTACAAGCACTTTCCTACAATCCTCATTACAGACCATGATACAATCTCCATGTCTTGATGAGCAAACTGAGACCTAGAGAAGTTAGGAATCAGAAATTTCATGAGCAGAGAAAAGGAAAGTTTTAAAAATAAACTCCTTATGCCTCTAAGGTCATTTCCAAGATTCCCTACGGCCTCTCTGAAAACAGAAAGGACAAAGCAGCTCATAAGAAAATGGATGAGAGTGGCCTTATGTTGGAGGCTTCTGTATGAGTAACTGGTGTGCCACCATTCCAGGCCAGGTAGGTTCATTCTCAGTTCTTGCCAATGAGCAGAGAATTTGGAGACTTCAGTGGATTTTCGCAGGTAGGCAGAGAGAGACTCCAACTCTGAGAGAAGCAGAACAGCAACTCCAAGGCCTAGCTCCCTTTACACTTTCAAGAGCCCATAGACACACAATTGATGCATTGTCATAAATGCAAGGCCCATCTCCATGTTATATAGATGACCCCATACAGAACACAGCATTCAAGGTACTGGCTGCCTTTTGTGTGGAAGGCTTGATTTTAACTCATTTTCCTTACAGTAAGAGGGATTTGGTTGTGGAATTTTCAAATGCCTTTGTTTTCATTTTTAGATCTGTTCGTCAGAACAGATAAATATACATATACATACATGCCAGTATATACCAGATCAGGCAAAGTGTGGACACAACTGACTGAAACTTTTACACAGACAATGATTTTACGGAGACATTTTCTTTCCACTTCCTCTGGGATTTTAATAACTTAGTCAACATTCTGTACGAGAGGTGTTGATGGTAATGGTAAGGAGAAAGAAAATCATGTACCTGCCAAGAGTATGCACAGTTTCAACTTATTCCTTACTCAGAAAAACAGTCACCTTCCTATCAGGCTAAGCCACATAACAAGCATTTCTAACTCTACAACTGTGGACTTTTGTCTTTTTCTAAAATTTTCTAAGAAAAGTCTCCCTCAAAATAATCATCCAAGTCAGGATGTACAACATCCTGTACACATCATTTGTGGACAACAAATATTTAATTTATTCACCTTAACACCCTTGTCTCCTGCGGCCTTTCTTCAGCACCAAGCTCATGTTTTTCTCGACTATTATCACAGTTTCATTTTTACCAATGCATCTCAAGTATAAGCAGCTGTAAAAAGCCAGGAAAATTCACGCAACAAATATATCATCATCCTACTGTGTTATAATCAATTATATAAAGAACTCACAGCATTAACAATAAGGGGACAGAAAGAATTGAGTGTAGATTACTTACCTGACCCCAGTTGGATGAGACTAAGAGTCAAAGTGAGCACGAAGGCCATAGATGTGTCCTGCACTTTCATCTCCTTCTATGGAAACAGATCGCAGGGCGGACAGGTGAATGGATGAGTTAGAGCCCAGTTGTCTGAGTAGCAGGAGACATGGAGAGATTCAGTGTGGTCTGATGGCTAAATTTTGTCCTTTTTAGAGTCTCCTTAACACAGAAATGGTTATGGAGAAGAGGGACTCTGGACTTTGGGACAGTTCATTCATTGGCAGGCCATAAACATTTATCTTATACTAGGAGGCAAAGATAAAAGGGGTGAGTCAGACTAGAAGGAGGTTTTACCCTGGGTGAAGACTGTCTCCTGGTATATATGCTGGGAAAGTCAGATGTAGGGCTATTTTCAGGTCCACTCTGAGTAGGTTCAGCTGTATAGGGGAGAAGGCATGGGAATCTCATCCTGAAAGAGAAACTGTCACAGCAAAGTGGGTTGTGAGGCAAAAGATGATATTTCACAAAGAGTGAGCAAAACCAATATTTCCTGCCACATTCTGGAGTAATTGTACCTGCCTCTCCCTTTCTTGAGTTGGACACTTAAGCGTCTAGTCATGAGGCTAGATTGAAAAGAACTTGCTATAATGAAACTCGGTTGCAATTTCCAAGGATCTAAAATACTGGAAAAACTTCCAGAATAGCTCATGTGTGGATAAAAGACAAAAACCCATGCACTCAACCCACTCATTTGTACATTGAATCAGGGTTCCACAATTAGAGATCATGAATTTTTTTTCTAGCATGGACATTCACAAAGTAGCCATTACCAAATTAGAAAGCATATTTTCATAGATATTATGACAAAAAGTAAATTCTTTAACCTTAATACAATTTATTGATTTATTTTTATTTACATATATTTTATATCATTGTTCATTTTTCCTTTTTTTTTACAGTGTTTGCTGTCTGTTTTTCAGTCCCCATAGAATTTCCACCACCAATTCACCTGTGCACATCACTGTAGTTCCTTGTGCTTCTCCTGCCCCACCTCCATCCCTTCACCTCCTCCTCCCTTGCAGAATGCAATTTATTTATGAAAAAGACAGTTTAAAAACTTAGGAAATCCTATATTTTAGAAATCTTTAATAGCACACTTTTAAGTAACTCGTGTGTCCAAAAAGGAGTCACAATAGAAGTTAGAGACCATTTTATATAGAACACAAATGAAAATATTATTTAGGCTAATATCCGAAACAATTTTGAAACCAAATGATAGCAAGGATGTAGGAATTTGCAAGGAACAACCACTGTAGATGATAATTTAGCAGTTTCTTGCAAAACTAAATATGTTCTTTGTATATGCTCAAACAATAACATTTCATGGAGTTTCATGGTTGTACACAAAAACCAGCATTTGAATGTTTATCACAGCTTTATTCATAATCGCCAAAACGTTCAAGTTCATTAGCATGAACTTCAAATAATGAATGAAAATCCAATCTGTTACAACTTTAGTTACAATAATATAATTTTTCTACAGTAAAAGAAAAAAGACTATCAATTCACAAAAACATATAGAAGAAAATAAAATGAATATTGGTGAATGAAGGCAGTTTGATGTTACATACTGCATGATTCCAACTACATGAATTCATGATGAAGTGAAAATTAAGGGAAAGTGAAAATTTCTGTGGTTTTCAGGTCTTTTAAGGAAAAATATGGGAGATAGGCATGAATATGTGGATCACAGGATATTTTTAGGGCAATGAATATATTTTCTGCATGCTACAAATTGTGGATACATCATTAAATGCTTTTCAGAACCCCCAGAATGCACAATTAAGAGTGAACACTATTGCAAACTATACACCTGGGTGAGCATGTGTCAGTGTAAGAACCTCAATTGTACCACTCAGGTGAGGGATACCCTTAGTAGACAAGATTATGTGTCTGGAGGGGGGAGTGGTATTAAATGGGATATATAGGAAACTAGATCTTACATTCAATTTTGTTGTAATTTTAAAACTGCTTTAAAAATAAAATCTATTTTTTAAGGTTTATTTTGCAACAAGTTGGTTCCTAGGAAAAAGGTTCCCTGCCCCACCTACAGGAGGGATGAGCTGAGTAGGGAGGAGAAGAATCTGGAGAGGAGAGTGAAGAGGAAGGAAACAGGATCAGAGCTGGGAGGAGACCTAGAGAGGCGCATGGGGCAGAAACGAGAAGAAACTGCACTTGCTTCTTGGTCCTGGGCTGTGCGACACAGATGTGGGCAAGAGAGCTGTGGGGAGGCTGACAGTGGCAGCCTTTAGCTTGACCTGTACTTTGACTTTCAGTCTTGCCTTCCACACTTGCCTGCTCCCTTCTGCCCCTTTCCTAAGTTCCCCACCAGAAGATACCTTAGACTTGTGCCAAATCTGGGGGCCTCAATGGCTATGCTTTAGTCTAACCCTGTTTGGCTGGTCTTTACCCACAAGAGAATGGGTAAGTTTGTATGTTTTTTATTGGAAACTATTATACTTCCTTCTCTTTTTCTTTATTGCACACTGACTTATTACATTCCTTTTCTATTGAAGCTCTTATGCACAGATTATATTTTGTCTTCTTGCAGTGAATGGCAGCACCTATTTAGAGTATTCAAGGTTTGGGGGTTCCAGGGTTGTCTCAGCCTGCCTAACATTTTAAGAACCTAAATTTCATTCTCTATACAGATGGTCCTTACTAACAGGGTGATTCAGGAAAATATCAAGGTGAGTACACTGTAACTTCTTCCTTTAAGGGTATTGAATAGCTTTCTTGCCCCAAGCCACATAGACACAGCAGGATGAACTCCTAACTCTCACAACAGCCTGAAATTTAGCCAAAACCACAACTGCTAATGCCTACATTGACAGTCAATATGCCTTTGGAGTAGCACATGATTTCAGTATATTATGGAAGCAAAAATGATGTGTAGTCATTTCCAGACAGCTGATAAAAAATTCTAAACAGGTAATTGATTTACCAGATGCTACATTAAAACTACTGCATGAAATAATTATCACAATGAAACAAATTTAAAAATTAGTAAACGAGAAACTTATTGAAGAGTTTATCCAGACTAATGGACCTAGGCCTAAAGTACTATATTACATTTTTCTGAATTACTAGTCTCCTAATTAGAGGTCTAGTCTTCAGTTTATGTAAGTAAATAACATGAACAGAAGTAATAACACAAAATTGCCTTATAAAGAAACGAATACATCTACTTAAGGTCAGGACATAATTTAATACAGTTAAAACTTAATCACTGAATTTTGCTCACCTGAACAATTCTGGGAGATACAAAGTAGATAAGAAAGGGAAACTGATAGAGTTGCCACGGGAACATGGCACTGGGCCACGTGACTAATAGCGAGCTATTAAGAATTACAGGAAATGCAGAAAAAGCAAACAGAACCAGACAGTACACCTGTGCAGAATGAAACCTGATGTCCCAGCAGGTAGCAAACAGCAGAGAATGACTCTCCCAGTCATAAAAAAGCCCAAGAAAACAGGTTATAAAAGGAAGACCCAGACCCCTCTTTCTGTGCAAACCTCTCTCGTTTCCTCTCTGCTCCCTTTTTTGACTTTTCTGTTCTTGCAGAAGCATAATCCAGCAATGTAGCAGAGTGCTTTTGGACTCAGGGTCCTACCACTGAAAAGCAAAATGTGGTTGATCCCAGATAACTTTTGGGATCTAGAAAAAGATATCCTTCAAGACTTATACTGACACTAGCCCAAATTCCCAGGTGTGGCGGTTAGCAGGATGTAAAGGCTTGGCACATGTTGGGCTGTATGTTTTGGACAATCTCCACTAATGGATATCAAATCCAGAACAAAGTAGTATTCATTTGTGTGGGTTTCTTTACTGCCCAAGCCAGACTGTTGTAGGGTAAGTATTAGGGTCAAATGAGACCAGACAGAGAATCTTTTATAATACTGGCTGTCTTTCCCACAATGCCTCCTCTTTCAAGCATATTTCTTTCTCCTTGGGGTTCACTTCCACTACACTCAATCTTACAGTGTCTTCATTTTTGGCCCATCCCAGAGTTTCATCACCCCAAATTACTTCACTTAATCTTTCATAGATTTCTGAAGGAAGCACTTCAACTTTCAGTGGAGCATCCTGAATGAGAACCATCTGGAGTCACAAGGCAAGTTCTAGGGGTTACCTGTAAGTATAGTCTTTCATCTTGAGATGAAAAGTAACCTGTGCATTAAGTTTATTTAAGTGGTCACAACTAAAGCGTGGCCACTACTCCATGTATAAAACACTATGTTGGAGAGTGCTATCACCAAACTGACTTTCCAAAAGTTGTAGGAAGCTTTTGTTGTGGTCTTTCCTCATCCTTGGTATCTGATACAATCTTCTTATTGGCCTAAACTAATCTATAATTTAAAACCGAACAGGCTGCTATAGTCTACCAAAAAATCAAACATTCTCACACAGTGAGTGTTACCCAGGTGTCCAAAATAGATATCTTAATAGACTTTTTTCATATAATATAGAGACCCTGGGTACCCCATTTTGGGGACTCTCCCCATCCTGGGCTACAATTTGTGTTTTCTCCTCACTCCTTGCTTCTTCATTCATTTTATTCTGCCTTTATTCCTTTCTGGAAACTTTGTCTGGATCCTCATTCTGTGCTGTCATCTGCCTCCTTTCTTTCCCCCCACATTCTCATTCCGCCTCCCTTTTCTTGTTTCCAACCTGGAACACCTGTCCTTCTAATGTCCTTCTTTCTTGCAATAAGCACACTGATTCTTTCTTTGAGGTTTTGGCTTCTCCTACTTCCTCTCTATGCCACTTCTCTCTCTTATAATCTTTGTCCGCTCTTCTCCTATGAAAACAGTTGCAGATCTAGGCCTTTCATCTCCTGCATTATTAACTCTAAGTCTGATTCCACCCACAACATGATGAAATAGAGAGGTTGGGATCACCCTATCTCCCTTAAAAATGACTATAAAATATAATAATATTTGTTCATAAGGATATCCATATGCACCGTCTCATATGTAGAGTCCCAGGATTTTCCCACAGAGATC